CATCCATCAATCAATCCATCATCCATCCATTGATCCATCCATTAATTTATCCATCCATCCATCCATCTATCTATGGATCCTTCCATCCATCCATCCATGTATCCAACCATTCATCCATGGCTCCATCTATGGATACATTCATCCATCAATCAATCCATCCGTCATCCAACCATTGATCCATCCATTAATTCATCCATCCATCCATCCATCCATCTACGGATCCTTCCATCCATCCATCCATGTATCCGTCCATTCATCTATGGATACATTCATCCATCAGTCAATACATCCATCCCTCCATGGACTCATCCATCCATTCATTTATGGATCCATTCATCATCCATCTATTGATCCATCCTTGCATCCATCCAACCATCTATGGATCCATCTATTCATCCATCTACCCACTCGTCCATCCATCCATCTATGGACTATGAACCATGGATCCATGGTCAGAATTTGGAGAAAACAAGATCAGGAGGTAATCCCATCATCTCAACAACACACTCCTGGGGGTCCAGGGTCTCCTCCCAAAATAATGTCCTTGGGAAATCTGCAGAGAGAGGAGTCCAGGAGGCATCCTAATCCCAGTCAGATGCCTGAACCACCTCAGCTGACTCCTTTTGATGTGGGAGCATCACCTCAACTCCAAGCACCTCAGATAATGGAGCTCTTATCTTAAGGAGGAAACTTGATGTAGTGGTTTGTATCCAGGAACTCACTCTTGTGGTCACGATCCATGACTATAGGTGAAGATTGCAATGTAGATCAACCAGCAAATTATATACACATTTAAATAAAAATACTCATTATGGAGGGCCAATATCAAAAATTTTCAAAATATTACATTTTCCACAAATTTATGTCATGGTTGGACAGGCTTTTGAATGTGAAACCGATGCTACTAATGTGTATTTTTAAAGCTGGTAACAAGAATCTACAGAAAGTCAATGAAAAGTTAAAGAGTAGCTTGCTGTTGTCATTTCCAGCTGTTTTCCACGTGGTAAGTGTTTGATGTTCATCCCAACAGAGCGCATGTGCGACTGCGGCAAGCCAGTTTACCACATAATAGATGGGAACTTTAAAGCACATATTCATGTTTTATTCTCTGTCAAAATAAACTTTTCAATTATTAAAAAACATTTTTATTTAAATTTGCAATAAGTATTTCAGATATCCTTACAGGGCCAATGGCATCATGTTGGGTTTTCAGATTGAGGTAATTCATGTTATTTTACATCATCTAAAACACAAGTGTTTTTTTTTTTAGCATAAATCAACATACAATAAATACATTTTAAAGTAAAAATGTCCTTGCATTAAATAGTGCTATTAAGATAAGTTATATTAAAAATTAAGATATCAGAAGTTACATTATGCATATTTAGATACGTAACAGCAATAATTACACGTATATTAAGATATTTGAGATATATTTCAGATAATATTGTGTTTTAGCATAAAACAGATTGTATGAAAATAGCAACGATTGCCGTTTACTAGTCCAACCATCCATTATCTTTTACCTGGTTCTTCCATTTTGGGTCACGGGGGTCGCTGGTGCCAATGTCCACCAATCACTGTGCGAGGGGCGGGGTACACCCTGGACGGGTCGCAAGTCCATCACAGGGACACATAGAGACAAACAACCATTCACTCTCTCACTCACACCTAGGGACAATTTAGAGTTGCCAATCAGTTTAACATGTATGTTTTTGGTCTGTGGGAGGAAACCGGAGTACCCTGAGGAAACCCACGCATGCACGGAGAGAACATGCAAACTCCACCCAGAAAGGCCTCCGGACCGGGATTTGAACCAGGGACCTGCTTGCTGAGAGGCAGCGGCTCTACCAGTTGCACCACCGTGCTGCCCATTTTACTAGTGAATTTTTGAAAACCTCTTGGAAAAAAAAGTGTTGTGCATACTGTTTTTTACAAACACACACATAATTTATATATATATATACATATATATATATTATATACATATTATATATATGTATATATATATATATATATATATATATATATATATATATATACACACACAAACCGGATTCCAAAAAAGTTGGGACACTAAACAAATTGTGAATAAAAACTGAATGCAATGATGTGGAGATGGAAAATGTCAATATTTTATTCGTAATATAACATTTATGACAGATCAAAAGTTTAATCTGAGTAAATGTAACATTTTAAAGGGAAAAAAATGTTGATTCAAAATTTCACAGTGTCAACAAATCCCAAAAAAGTTGGGACAAGTAGCAATAAGTGGCTGGAAAAAGGAAATTGAGCATATAACGAACAGCTGGAAGACCAATTAACACTAATTAGGTCAATTGACAACAGATTGGGTATAAAAAGAGCTTCTCAGAGTGTCAGTCTCTCAGAAGCCAAGATGGTAAGAGGATCACCAATTCCACCATTGTTGCGCAGAAAGATAGTGCAGCAATACCAGAATGGTGTTACCCAGCGTAAAATAGCAAAGACTTTTAAGTTATCATCATCAACCGTGCATAACATCATCTAAAGATTCAGAGAATCTGGAACAGTCGCTGTGCGTAAGGGTCAAGGCCGTAAAACTCTACTGGATGCTCGTGATCTC